AGTTTAGTACGAAAAATACACTGTAAACTACCTCAACAGGCGCGTATACCTTTTTGTTATGTACAAAAAAATAATTAAATGACTTATTTGTCGGTGTTTTTTTCGAAAGGTATGGCGATCTGTCGGCTTCTCCAAGTGTTGGCTACTTTTCGCAGTTCGCGCATGCGTAAGACTGTGGGCATGCTGGTCTGTCGGGGTTATGCTGACCTGACAACAACGGGGGTCAGGAGAGAGGAAGCCTCACCTTCCACCTTGGAGACGAAGCCCAGGCTCTTCTTGAGGTCGGAGCAGATGCTGTGCAGGCACCAGCGGAACTTGGAGTCGCAGCGGTACTTGTTGGAGCCGCAGGTGTCGTAGCACATGTCCAGCTGGTTGCAGCACTTGGTCATGGCCGGGACGCCCACGTCCATCTGGGGCACAGCGGAGACGGAGGGGTCAGGCCGGCCCTGAGCCCCCCCCCACCCCCCCACTGGACCCCCCTGGACTAGCCAGGACTCATCAGGACTCATCAGAATCCCAATGTTCTGCTTCAGATTCAGAGGTGGGAGTCGGGGATCTCTGAAAATTATCTGAATCTTAGAAAAGATGGAACTTTTTTTTTTTTTTTTTTAAAAAAAGAAAAATCCAGAAGAGACACAGCAGCTTAAACTGAATGAAACCAGGAACCAACACGGGGAGCAAAAACAGGGAGGAAAGGCTGAGCTCTGCCAGAAGAACCAGAAGTGGACTGAACCCCAGCAGATCTGATGGAGGGATGGATCCTCACCAGGTTTTTTTATACCCCCAAAAAAGCAAAAACAAGGCTTAAAATAACCCAAAATACAACCAGAAAGAGCTTAAATAGAGCTAGAATTACCAAAATAGAGAATAGATAGAGCTAAAACAGAGCTAAATGTACCCTGTCTGCTAACTAAAAGAAGCTAAACCTCCCAGAGTTCCCACAGTGGGTCAGAAACTAAATGAAACCAGGAACCAAAACAGGGACCAGAAACAGGAAGGAAAGGCGTCGCTCTGCCAGAGGAACCAGAAGTGGATGAACCCCAGCAGCTCTGATGGAGGGATGGATCCTCCAGAGCTGGAGTCCTAGATTGTGGGATCATCTGACAGAGAACGGCCTCAGAACGTGTTTATCTCTGGCTCTCTAAAGCTGAATTAACTGCCTCTGAGTGGTGAGTGTTCCTCTGTTCTCGTGTCAGTGTCCTCTCACCCCTTCTGGAACAGGAAGCCCAAAGAAGTAGGAGCTGCACCCGTCGGGTTCGGGCATCTGGAAGTCCGGACGGGGGACCGGAGCTTTACCTGAAGGGGAGAAACAGAGAGGGTCAGGGCTGCCCTCTGGACTGGGCTCCACCCCCCCCCC